TGAAAGAATAGCTTGCCTCCATCGCGCACAGAGAACAATTTTTTACATTTTTTCCAGCATATGTTTGTGGAGAACAAAATATCTTGGGGCTAAAAACACCAAGAAACACACAAGTTTCAGACACTGACAGGTATAGGTATAGGTTTACATTGTTACCGAATGGTATAAAAGAGCATGGTACACCAATTGTCATTTTTAAGGTGGAAGATATCAAAATAATCATAAAAATGTACATCCATACTCTTTCCTTTAAACTTAACTAATTACGATAGGGAGTATCCGAGTGCTGCAAATACACAGCAACCGCGGCCCCGGCGCCATTGCTACGCTATTGGTGCATGGTCACAATGTTACTGCGCATCAAGAACTGTAGAAATGTACGGGGCCAAGGTAACAAGAACGCAATGAAATGTTTCTTACGTATCGAAGTAGTCCAGCGATATTGCATCATTGGAGTTGCATGAGGTGGGATTGTTTGGGGCCCAAGTATTACTGGATTGTGAGACCAAGGGCCCAGATGACGACCTACCCTAGCCTAACCTGACCTGACCTGACCTGACCTGACCTGACCTGACTGACCTGACTTGACCTGACCTAGCCTACTGACTTATCCGGTGTCCGCCGTTGTTATCGTAATTATCATATTTTGAGCGTAAGATGGTATGTTGTCCATGAAATGTTCCTGTTTTATGGTTATTTCGATGTCTTATGTCTTAAAAACATTAATTGGTAGACAATTTGATATTGGTATGTCAGTAATACTAAGTATACTATGGCCATACATTTTTAGCTACCATACATTTTTAAGGCTCGTGATGCCTGATAATGTTGTGACCGTGTTCCTATAACGTAGCAATGGTGCTGGTATCGCGGTTGTTGTGTATTTGCAGGGCTCGATGTTTGCTATCGTAATTGTTTAACTTCTAAGGTAAGAACATAGATGTACCTGTTTTTTTATTATTTGCGGTATGTTCTGCCTTAAAAACAACGACTGATGTACAATGCTCTTTTCTAACATCAGGTACAGAGGTATGCCATGACTACACGTAAAAATGGCTTTAGACATGAGACGGTCATCAAATTATCCCCATCTACTCGAAGCCAATGCACTGTATTCCTGGCGTGTATAAATTTGATCCCGAAGGCGCAGTGGCTGGGCAGTTAGCGCATCTGGCCTTCATGCAGTGAGCGCAGATTACAATCCCGGTAATGTTAGGGTCCCTGAATAGCAATATCAAATTATCAATATGGATGCCCTCATTCTGTGCCATTGGAATGGTGGCATAAGCAATGGTCATATCACAACGGTCTGAAAAGAGAAAAAGCTCAGGTCCTTAGTACTGGACAGAAGCACAGTTTTCTATGTTCTTGAGGAAATCCGTCTCTCTCGTATTTGGACTCCTCAAAGAAGACCAAATTTGAGGAGAAACTTGGTTGTTGCCGTAGGTTTTGGGGTACTTTTGTTGTTTTCCACTTTTTTTTCTTCTCCCTCGAACTCAGTTTGCCCTTGATACCGGACTGTTGTAGGGAGAAAGTGACTGATCCTAAGCCTGAAATATAATTTAGATGACCGTAAAGAAACCTCAAATGAGAGCACCGTTAATCCGATATGGGACCCGAAGGGCTGGCTAAAGGTCATGAAGGGAGCACAGATTGGACCCTCAAATACCAGTCAGAGGGCCCGTTGCACCGACCCCGGCCCCGGCCTGGGCTTGGGATCCGTTGGGATCCGTGGGAAATCCGTTATGGGACCCGAAGTGTCATATACGTAAGTCATGTATAATTATATATATATATATATATATATATATATATATATATATATATATATAATATATGAGTCAGGGGTCTAAAGGTCATTGAGGGGGCGCGGGCCGGACCCTCAAAACCAGGCAGAGGGCTCGTTGCACCGATTGGGCCCTGGCCTCGGCTTGGGAGCCCATTTCCCACGCAGGAACAGTTAGGACCTTCGATCTACATTGGTCGGTGCACCCCGAGCCAATGAGGGGCCCGTGTGTCGGCCAGGGGCACACAGCGCCTAACCGAAGGTCCGGTGTTGACAAGGGCCCCCGAGTTGGTCAGAGGGTGTTCGAGGGTGCCCGAGAAGGGGCCGACGTGCGCTTCAAGACTGACGACCAATCGCCCAATGGGAAGGCTGAATGACCGTAAGGTCCGAAAGGCTGCAGGTCACCCTGGCCCGTATGGCTGTGACCGCAAATGTCAGCCGATATGCCTCTCGCCGATTGTGGACCCCTGGGACAATGCGGGTACTTATTTCGGCCGGAGACCACTACACTAAATTGTCGACTCCGTGTTCTGAGCCCTGTGGCCCCCATTTCTCTAGCAGGAACGAGGCCGAGGCCCGTGATTTGCATTGGTCGGAGTCCCTACAACAGTTGTTGGTCTTTTGACGGTCAGGTCCCCAGTGTCCAAAAGGGCTCCCGCGACGGAAGAAGTCCCGAGTCGACCAGGGGTGACCCGAGGCCCTTGCGGGGCCCTTCATCCCATCTGAGCCAAGGGTCCGTTGGCTAAACATGGGTCTCTGTGCCAGTTATTGGGCCACCTGCGGTTATCAAGGATCTTGCTGCACCAATGAGGGCTCTTGCGCCTCTCCCGGGCCAAATGCCCCGGCCAGAAGCCACCAGAGGGCCTTCCGCGCCAAGAAGGGCATCAATGTAGTTTGTATATCTGTGAGGGCCTCCGGGAAAATCGACCACTCGAACCCGCCTCCATGTCGCCAGAATGGCAGCCGGTAGGCACCTTAGACTGGGACGGAGTGATCTTTATGCAATTGCCCGGAAGGGAAGTGTGCACCTAACTTCACGAATTGATTCTGACTTACGGTTGACCATTCCCAGAAGAAAACATGCTGCCTATGTTTATACAAGTTGCTGACCTCATTAAGATGTACGATCAACGTTCACGGGATCCTCAATATCTCTGCAGAGTGTGGAGTCCCTCCCCAGGCATAAGAAGCTAGGCTTCCGTCCGACATGAAAAGCCCAAATTCGAATCTATTCCGCTTAAAAGTAACCCAAGTTGGCATCATCATGCCACGCCGATAGACCATGAAGCCACCCACTCAACAGCAGCCGTCGTCGAGATTCGAACCCAGGCCTACCGCGTGCGAGATCAGTACGTCAACCATCCATCCACGGGGTATGCAGGCCCGGCAGCGGATAATTCGTAATCAGAAAAGAACCGGCTCTGAGTGGGTTGATGGCTTTCGTGATTATCACATGCGTATAACGCATTGAGCCGACTTCCCCCACAGGGTTCCGCATGTTTGCATTTGGTTCCCTCCACGACTGGCAATCCGCGTATGCTTGGTGCGTACAACCATTTGAAACATTTTTGGGGGGTGTATAAGCCCGGTGCGCAGCCACCCTCCATTTTGGGGGGTGTATAAGCCCGTGCGTAGCGGCCCTACGTTTTGGAGGTTGTAATTTTCAGTATTGAATTATTGTTCCTAAATGCAATCAGGGACAGCGATCAACTTTATTTTGCTCGGCATGTCAAGCACTCTCATGATGTGTAACATATCTGGCATGGTAGTTATATTACAGTAACTATGCCGGGGCATTTGCGCCATACATTTGAGTGCTGGAGAATCCAGTGCCCTGATATCTGTGGTGTTTGGTCATGGAAAGTCAGTAGTTCAAGAAGTGATCATTTCGCAAAGTTTATGTCTGGAAAACTGCAAACACACTACTCGAAAATGCGCACTCAGAATGCATAAAAATGTTCCTGGATGCTGGTTAAGTGTGCCTTCAATATTTAAAAAACAGAAATAATTCAAGTTGTCATGCTTAACTAGTGTTGGAAGCTGCAACAATATTCCGGGAAGTGGAGTACAAATTTTACAAAGCTGAGTACACTATTTTCCAAGTGCTGTTGGTCATTGCACTTTTATTTCGCTTATTGGGAGGTTACAGTGCAGTGGGTGGTACTCATCAGAAGAGCCACATTAAATATGCAGTAATTCATGCAAAAGCATTCCAAATGAAAAACATGTCAGTGTTCAACATGACGCACTGAAACAACAGTCCCAGACTCCATGACATGAAACATATGTCCATAAGAGTGCAGTGTCGGAAACCTGGGTGTTCCTTGGTGTTTTGGGCCCCAATACATTTTGTTTTCCGCAAATATACACTAGAGAGAAAATAAGTTGTTCTCTATGAGGAACGTAAAATGAAGGCAAGCTGTTCCTGAAACTTGACAGCGCAGTTTCACATTCACGACTAAACGAGGAATACTGCTTGCGGGTTGAAACCAAATTGTTCTACCATATCGCACACAATATTTCCTTTCACTGCACTGCCCAGGCCAGTTGATGTTCACCAACACACGTTTAACCCATCTATGTTCAGACGCCGGGCCCGAGCCTGCGCTCACAACAGGGTCTCTTGATGGGCCAAGGAGAAGCGAGAGGACAGAGCATCTCGGATATGTCACGATTCAACGTTTCTGGATTGCACGTGGAGATCATTGTAACACGATACAAATTGATTCGAAAGCACGTAGTGTTACACCAGCACATACCCCCAAATAGAGTATGAATTGGTCATATATTGATTGAAATATTATTTTAGTCAGTCTTGAATAGTACGATGATTACATTTCCATTTGAAGCTATCAAAAATGGAGATGGTATGGAAGGCATAATGGTGACGTCAGGCACCATCCCAAACACTCGTTTGGACACGCGGGAATCCACGACTCCGGGAGTTTAAGGCTCTTGGGGAAGATTTAGCAATGGAGAGGAGGCATATTCTCCATCAAAGATCCGGTCTGAAAGCTTGATGAAAACGCATAAAAGGGGCATGAAATGAAAGCATGGAAATTTGTATCGATCTTCTAAGTGTCACCACGGAAATATAATCTGAGTATAAAGCTAAAGCAGGATTTCTTGTTCTCCGTTGAGCAGTACTTTTGGTTTCGTATTTATGTACTTTTTAGATAAAATTTATGGACAGAAAATGAAGCATGACTTTTATCTATTTTTTGGGTCTAACTCTTATTTGAGGTAGGTTTGCCAGTGAATGATTTGTACAAAACCATTAGGGCCTTAAAGAAGCAATACCGAAACTGATAACTAACTTACAGCGGATTTGTCCTTGAAGGCTGCTGTGCCGTGCGCGCCATTTATGTAGCCTTCAGACGATTTATATCTATGTAGCCTATTTGGAGGAGCCCCGTGCGGGGCTGTGGTGGGCGGCGATGAGCGATGGGTTGATGGTAAACAGGGGTAGTGTGTAAGTTCAACTCAGTGTCATGCACTGAGAATAGTGTTGTATCAGACTTAGCGTCGGTGAGTAGATGTAGCGATGCTACCTTTGTACGGCTGGCGTGCTCTATGAAAATGAAGTAACTTCTCGGCCCCTGCTGCGTTGACCTGCGAGCCAGGACCACGCGTCGGCCTGACGTCTCGGATAGCGTCATCTCGTACATAACTTTGTGGAGCAGGTGAGCAAAGAAATCTTTAGTCCCAAATAAATGGTGCAAACCATGCTCTCTCTGATTTTGGTCAAGTTTCTTCTAAGAGTTGGGAGTGGGGCTGGCATCCTATCCAACTAAATAGGAAACCTCTGTCCACAAGTTAAGCAAGCAAGTTCACAAGTCAGTAAAATCCTAGGCAGCTATCACATTTCTCCAGGATCTTTCACTTAGGTTAGAAAGATTGTACCTTGGCTAGAATGTAGCTGTACTAACCACTGCGCCCCAGGCATCCTATTGATATTGTGATCTGGGTGAAATTTCAATCATAAATTTGTCATGATGTGCTGTGGGGCATTGTGGAACAGGTGCACAGCATTCTAAGTGTTTGTTTCTTTCAGCCTTAATTGGGACTTACTCCTGTACAACAAAATTACAACAAAACTTTGTCAGCTCCATAGCTTCAAAGATACAATATGGTAGGTGTGAGCATGGACTGAGGAAGTAAGCACTTTCTTAGAAGGCTAGAAAATTCAAGAATTGCAAGCAGGCAATGTCTCATGGTCTTTGGCAATTTCTGAGACCAGCTGAATCATTACTGTCTTCTGCCACAAAGAATGTCTTTCAGTGCCAGTGGTGAACATGGTGCAAATTCATCTTGGTTCTTTGTTCTCACTGCAGGCCTTGATTTAAGAATTTTTGTTCTCTTCCCAAGAACCAAAATCAACTTTAATATACTGTGTGAGTGGCTATTCTCTTAAGATCTTACCATACCATGGATTTAGGCAATTCTATTTCTCCAAGGTTTTGCTGTAAATAAAAGGTATTTTATGCTACTCTGCCCAAAGTTGCCAACAGGTAACTTGGTGAGGGGCATAATTTCACAAGACAAGTTTAGGGCTGGCAGGGGAAAAATGGCACAAGAAAAAATGTGTAGTAAGAATGTGCATCAGACAACAAACTACATATGCTCTTCCACAAACACATACTCAAGCTCCACCATGATCACACCACTCATGCTCTCACCCAGAAACTGGCTCTAAAAATGGCAAAAACAAGGTATAACTCCCTCTCCCCTTTACCCTACAGTTTCTGGACACCACACAGGGTGGAGGTACGGCAGGTTCCAGCCGAGCAACAGACACAGACAGCACTCAACCTGATATAGCATGAGTATGATCCCTGACAGGTCCTGTCCCCGCCGGTTTTGTCCTTGTTTGTAAAGCTTAAATCTCCAGCTTTAATTTCATGCCCTTAAATGGCAAGCTTAACATGATTTCAATGCCCAGTTGCTTTTTATCTTTGTACTCGGGACACCAGTGTAAAAATGAAAAACAATGGTGTCATCCAGATTTCTGGCCACCAAATGGCAAGAAATTCAACCACCTATGGGTCTGAATGAGTACAAGTAAGTCATTTTTTATAAGCATAGTGCCCATCACTGTACTGGTTCCCTCCATGATTTTACAAGTCTGTTCAAGACATGAGTGTGAGCGGAATATTTATGCTCTTGACAAATTAGTCACAAGTAGGCAAATTTTTCAAACCAATTGGCTAGTTTTGGGGTTTTCAATCCAAACCTGAGTTGGGGGTAGGTGCAAGTTACTGAATAGTTGAGACATTTCCAGCACTGTATTACAGGTGATTCTCCTATTTGCATTGCGGTTACAAAGCAGTGGAGCATGAATAGGTGTCTGTCTTTGGTAGATGCTGGAGTGTGCGGTTGTTTGCTACCATTTGTTGCATCCTTGTGATTGGTGTAGTCAGTCTTTATTGGAAGGTTAAATTGTGTCCAATTTTGAGTTTGTCTGCATAGGAAGTGGGAGCATTGCTTATTTGCAGGTGGTGCGATTCTGCTTTTCGTTTCTCATTTCCGGGCATTGTTCAAAGATGAGTCCATTCAACATTCACGCACTTAATTTTCTTCATTTTCATACATGATCCATCACAGCCAGGCTGCAACACAGGCTGCTTGCTATTTGGCATCCAAGTCAGATGGGTGCAGGATTTGTGCTCTTGCAGATACGAATACATGGTTCATGATGAAAGTAGTAAGTCTTAAGCTGTTGCATCTTCTAATTTCACTTCATCCAGAAATGGAGGCAAAACAAATTTTCTAAAAGCTGTTATTGTTATGTAATAATGGAGTACAAACTTATTCATTTTATCCAGTCACAACCCTGCAGTACAAAATCTCCTGGTATGCATTATGCCAGGAACATCAATTTTCCAACACTGTACTTGGGTCTGGCATAGGTTACATGCATTGGTGCTCCATGTTCAGAGCACCAATGTTATGTAAGTGTCACAATGAGTATATTTTTCTTCTGGCAGGTCAATTGTTGCTCTGTTTTTCCAATGCTTCACATCATGCAAGTGCTAGTATTTTTTAATGTGCAAGTAAATGATGTGTGTATGGTAGGTAGTGGATATGTGCAGATAACTTCATACTGCAGAAAATACTGTCTTCCTAGTGTTACAATTTACTATTCAGACAATTGTAACCAGCAGGGCATCATCATTTATTTCCCCTTGCATATACAACAATTTATATTGTATTGACCAATGCAGCCACATCTCTGTAATTGGGAAGGCCTAAACTGTGCATTTTACAGGCAAAATTGGAAAAATCCCATTTTGGGAACATGAGGGTATGTTGCTCCCTCTTCCACACAGTTACACCCATAAATTGGATAGTATTATTTTTTCAGGCATCATGCCATCATACACACCTGCCTAGGTAATTTGCGCAGAAATTGTTGTATGTAATGTGGTGTTGAAACTTTATCCCTTTTGAGGGTATTTATTTAACCTTGATGAAGTTGGTTCTCTGTGTTGAATGCTGGAAACAATGAAGCCCTTAGAGCCCTCTTTGTATAATCTGCACAATGGTTACCCATGCTAAGCAAGAAGTACCAGACACAGGCACATGTCACAATAATTTCTGTCGTGGAAGGAACCATCCAAAATAGAGTGTTCCACATTTGTATGGGGTTTTCAACTGAGTGACTTGGGGGCTGACTTTGAGGCCGTTCAAAATTGTGCCTTTCCTAATACCCGAGCCCCTCTAGTTTCTGAGCTACGTGCCTGTAAAAATGTGAAAGTTATATGGGTATGAGTATTCCAAAGTCACCCTGGCATTCATGACATAATAGTGTCACTCCAATCTTGTCATTTCACAAGCCATGCAGCAACCAATGCTGACAAAAATATAGCTGTCAAGGCATTCATATCTGGCATTTCAACATGTTTTCCAGATATGACAGTCATCAATTGGCTCTTAGTCAATCTTTAGCTGGGCATGGTGGTGTTGGAAACTCCAAAAATTTCTGGTAGCAGAGTGCAAATTTTCTATGGTGGGGTACAAAATTATCCGAGTGCTGCAGGTCATTACAATTTTGTTTAGGTTATCTTTTGGAGATAACAGTACAATGGGTGGTGTTCAACAAAAGTGCCACTTTCCATGTACAGCAATTCATGTAAAAGCACTTGAAATGAAAGACAACATCAGTATTAAACATGGTACACTGAAACAACATGGTCTCAGACTGTGTACTGTGAAACACGTGCATACATATGGGGTTTGCAATGTATGAAAGGCTGTACGTGTGCACCCTCCAAAACGGAGGGTGGTCACGCACCGGGCTTATACACCCTCCGAAAGAGATGGTGGACACGATACGCACAACCAGAGTAAATGGTACGCAAAAAAAATACAAATGAACGTGCCACAGACGGCCACCTACTCATGCTGCACCACGGTCACGCTACTCACCCTCCAACACGGTCACGCTTCTCATGCTCCACCAGCTAACTGCTTTTAAAAATGGCTCAACATTCATGTCCTCCACCTTCTAACTCCCGGACAACACACGAGGCCCTGTACGTCTCAGCCGAATAATAGAGATAGCCAGCACTCTCAACCAATTTACCGAGCCAGCGCAAGTACAATACCTGACACACCCGCCCAGGCCGGGCAGAAGAGGATCGGAGTCAGACACTCTGCTGACTCCGGCGGGTGATGCAATGTAGTAATGGACTGTGATGCGCTTTAACAGATATTATTGCGAAGTATTATAATTTATGTTGCAATTTATGGATGCTTTTTCCCAATAAACCCTTTTCCTTGGTTTGCCGGGCCAAAGTTATGGGTTCATGTTACTCTGGTGTCCTGGTGTTTTTGCCGGAATGAGATGGCTATCTCCGAATAGTTTTTTGGCTATTTGTGGCAACGTTTTTCGACTTGAAAGTCTGTTTTCGTAAAGCCTGAATTACCTGCTGTAATTTCACACCCTTAAGTGACAAATTTAACCTGGTTTAAATCCCCAGCTGCCGTTACATTTTTGTGCTCTGGATACTAGGAAATGGCCAAAAATCCAACCACAGGTGGTTCCGGATGAGTACAGTAGTAAGTCCATAATCGTGATGCCCATCGCTATACAGCTTCCCTCCAAATGTGTACAAAACCGCTTAAGGCATGAGCGCGAGCAGAATAGTTGTGCTCTCGACAAATCAGCCCGGAGGAGGCGAATCATTAAAACCAATTGGAGAGTTTTGCTATGTTCAACGTCTAACCTGAGCTGGGAGGCGGGCGCTAGCCGCTAGATAATTGTTAATAGAGAAATAGTTTCCGACGCTGAATTGCGAGCGAATCTCTTACTTGCATTGCCACAACACAGTGATGGCGCGTGAGTAGGCGGCTGTCTGTGGTAGGTGTTTGGTTGTGTGGTTTTTATGACCGTTCGTTGTATCTTTGGCAATCAGTGCGGTTTGTCGTCAATGGTGGGTTCAGTCATGTTCCAATTTGAGTTCCGTAGGACACAGGAGGTGGGAGCTTTGTTAATCTGCAGACCGGTGTGGTTCTGGTACTCGTTTCTCATTTCCCGCTATGGTCGAAGGCGATTCCATTCAACATTCACACACTTTGTTTTTTACATTTCCATGCACGATTTATCGTATGCCTAGGTGGCAACACAGGCTGCTTGTGACTGGGCATCTTAGTCTGATGGGTGCAAGGTATGTGTTCTTGTAGATGTCAATACATGGATCATGATGTTAGCAGCAAGTCTCAAGCTGTTGCACCTTCTGGTTTCATTCTGCCCTGAAACAGAGAGGTAAAATGAGTTTTGCCAAAAGCTGTTTTTGTTGCATCATGATGGAGTACAAAATATTTCATGTTACTTAGTCACAATCCTTGAGTGCAAAATCTCCTGGCATACATTATGCCAGGAAACGTGAAGTTTTCCGACACTGAGGCATGATGACGTTATCAAACTATGGTGCATTGAAGACCATAGTCACGCAAACAGATAATTGTGCTGTCTAGAGCAGTCTTTTCCACTTGAAAAGTATACCAATAGTTATAAGTGAGCTTGTTTTATGATCTGGTGCGCGCTTCAAGATGTTCAAATGTGAAGCATTCCATTGAAACATTTTTTACGCAGTTGCCACCACTGGCACCCCATTTGTCCTTACCCATACTCCAATAACAAAACCTTCAAACTGAGCCTCTTTTCTTCTCTGCTGTCTCTGCACAATAGTACGCGCGCCACATCCGCGCCAGTGTTGTCTTCATTGGCTTCCCCGCGTACCGGAGTCGGATCGGAGAGATCCCCTGGGAGTATTTCCCGGCCTCTCACCTACGGCCACGCTATGGGCGGGAATTTTCCGCCTTTCTGGGTGTTGCCTCGGAGATGTCTGTGCTCTCCGGACTCTCCGGCGGATGATTGGCTGTCGGATGCCGCGGGGCGGCATCAGTGCTTGCGTTGCCAGCGGACTGCCCATCTATTGTCACAAATTGCTTACGAAAGCGAAAAGGGTCACGTGATACTGCTCATCAGCCCAGGTTTTGCCGATTCGTCTGAACCGGTATATGGCGGTCGAGAAAGAAGCGCGAAACCCATACTGATGGTCAGTTCCTCCACGCGTGGGGCGAGTGGAGACAAGTAATTACAAACTGCGACGTGCAGGACGAGAATACGCGTTGGGATCACTTTAAGCACGTTGCGGTCGTTTTTTTTTTTGCATCCGTTTTCATGGCTGTAAATTTCGCTGTAGATTTCACAAAAAATCATCGGGTATTTCTGGCATTGGACAGCATCAGATGCCAAGCTGCAGCCTGGCAGCTTAACAGCATACAGAGTGCTCTTAAGGTAGTTGCATGGCAAGAAGGGTCAACGGGGTTTTAGTGTTTGTGAAATATGTATGAAATGCAAGACTTGCTTAAATGAGTCAGGTCAGGACAATGTATGAACACAACAAAACATAGCTAATACCAGCATACCAAAATCTTCCTGTTTGCTCAACCTTGTCTATGCAAGTGGATACTTTATCTCCGACCTGTCTAGGAAAAGTACCCCAACCACGAATCCTGAAACAAAATAAAAATCAAAATTCCCTTCTGATGCACATGGCCAACAAACAACAGAACAAGAGGGACATACAATATGCAAAAGTCTGCATCAGTAAAACATCGTTTTGGGGCTATTGAGGCATTGGAGGCTTTGTTTTCCCATGCAGATAGCAGAAATATTAGTTGTGATGCATGTAGTTACCACCAAATCTGTCATATTTTCCATCTGTAGCAGCGTGGTCGCCTGCAACAGACGTATCAAGTGGACTTAGGTTGTTATGATAACCAAATTGCACTTCATTTTCCGACCGTTTGCTTTAATCGTGCGTGTGAAATCAACGAACAAGACAAACAAAGACGATATTTTATGAGAACGCCCCACTTTCTCAAACACGCTCCTGAAATGGGCGAATTGGCGTTTTTTTTCAAGAGGGTGCCTGGCAGCTAGCACACAACGTCTAGCGCGTTTGCCGGTGCCAACACTGACCGCTCCTCCGTCGAAAGGGGCCGAGCTCGTCGTCTCCGGGTGATTGATGTCTGGTCTTGGTCAGACACTGCGCTTTGCAGCTTTTTGGAATTCACAAATGTTACTTTTCCCATGTGAATCTATGAGGGAAGATTGCTTTTGCACGAGTGCCATGTGGTAGGAAAATCATGAGTTCTCAAATGCTTATCTGATCCAATACCTGAAACTATCTGAGCCAATATCTGAAACTTCATACCACCCAATCTTTAAATGGGCGTGTTGTGCTGCTGAAAACTGCAATGTCAGCTTCCAGAAGCATGAAGGTGGGCCTGGTTGACCGGGGCGACTCGATTTAAAAATGGTGTTACTATTAAAGCAAGGGTCTTTTTTGCTCGGGACCCTGCTCGTACCTGTTGAAATTAAATGCATTTTACAGTTTGGATTGCTGTTGATAACTGTACAGCCAGATCATCAAAATACAGATATGAATATTCAAGCATTTGTTACTGACAATAGCTAATAAAAATTATTTGTTTCAGCAATCAAAATGAGTTTTACGAGTGATGAGCTCAACTTTCTGGTGTACCGCTACCTCCAAGAATCAGGTATGGAGATGTCTTGTACGTACCAGGTCAGTAGTCTGCTGCTGTGCACGTGGGATTGCTTTTAATTGGTGATGAGGGTGCAATGTCAGGCAGGGTGTCATTTTTTACACATTGAAACAAGTGTCAGTCACGTTTTGTTTGCTTTTAGAAACCTTTACGTGGGAAGCCATTATGGAATTGTTCTGGAACTTTTAACCAAGTTGATGTTAACTTGGTGGCCGACTGTTGTAATGCAGGAATCATACAATATATTATGTTCTGTCCCTTAGGGTATATCTTGTCGTAAGACATTTCTGGTGATATCTGCTCCTGTTGCCCAGGGTTCTCCCACTCGGCCTACACATTCGGCATGGAGTCGCACATTGCTCAGAGCAACATCAACGGCGCGCTGGTGCCGCCGGCAGCACTCATCAACATCGTGCAGAAGGGCCTGCAGTACACGGAGGCCGAGATCAGCATTGGCGAGGTGCGACGGGAGGGTCGGGAGCCAGAGGGCCACGCTCGAGGCTCGAGAAGAACTAGGCGCGCTCACTACAGCAACAGCATTATCAAGTCATCATGTTTCAAGTTGTGATTGTGTTGATAGGTTGTATGTGCCTCCGTCGTGGGTCATTTTCTGACATAACGTCGCGTTCATAAGCAGGGGTCATAGGAGTAGAAGTAAAATTGTCTTTTCACCCACTCTGACAACCTGAGATTTTAATGACCACTGGCCTTTGACGGTGGCATAGAAACTGACTGCTGCAGCTCGCACGTATAGTGGCTACTGCCAGCCCAGTGGTACCTATGGGGTTTGCTGACTGGCGTGACCGTGCCGATGATGGTGCAGTGTGGCAGCCGCTGGTATTACCATGCTGATGGTGGTGTGCAGGCAAAGGGGCAGTGGCTGGTATTACCGTGCTGATGTTGGTGTGGAGTATGTAGGCAGTGGGGCAGCAGGCTGGTATTACCATCCTGATGGTGGTGTGGAGTATGCGGGCAGCGGGGCAGCAGCTGGTATTATCGTGCTGATGGTGGTGTGGAGCGTAAGGCAGTGGGACAGTGGCTGGTATTACCATGCTGATGGTGGTATGGAGTGTGCAGGCAGTGGGGCAGTGGCTGGTATTACCATGCTGAAGGTGGTGTGGAGCGTGCAGGCAGTGGGGCAGCGGCTGGTATTACCATGCTGAAGGTGGTGTGGAGCGTGCAGGCAGTGGGGCAGCGGCTGGTATTACCATGCTGAAGGTGGTGTGGAGCATGCAGGGAGTAGGGCAGTGGCTGGTATTACCGCGCTGATGGTGGTGTGCAGGCAGTAGGGCAGCAGCTGGTATTACCATGCTGATGGTGGTGTGGAGCGTGCAGGCAGTAGGGCGTTGGCTGCTGAGCGTGCTGACCGTGCTGTTGCTATCGCAGGACGGCACCGAGCGGCTGATCGAGTCTCTCTCGCTGATCGACGCGGTCATGCCCGATATCGTGGCCACGCGCCAGCTGCTGGCCGCCGCCCAGCAGAAGCAGACGGTCAAGACCGAGGCCGATCCGCAGCAGGCCAACGGCGAGGAGGTGCCGCCGCAGCCGCCGCCCGCCGTTGACAACATGGAGGTGCGTGCACCGCCCCCGCGCGCCGCCCGTGCTCGCGCCAGGTCACCGTGGAGTCGGTCTGGCGTGTCGCGGGAGTCGGTCAGCTGGCTCTGTGTGGCGTCTTTTCACGGTGCAGTCTTTATGGACTTCTTCACGGTACGTTCTGTCTTTCTTCACGTATTTTATGAACAATGCTTAGTGGGACATCAACCTGACAGCTGCTGTGTTGCCTGCCACCTGCCATGTTGTAAGGTGTTAAAGGGTTCCAGAGTTATATATGAAGATCCATGATAACTTAGGAAATAATAGTAGGAACCAGTCAACTAATTAGGCTACTTCAAGGCGGGAAATAAAATTATGGATCGTAACTACCCCGAAACATTAATTGTGAAGCTCAAAATTGCTTCCCATGTTTAGCTTTGACGTAACCAAGCAATGTTAGATAATTAAATTGGACCCAGGATGTGAGTACCAGTAAGCTAAAATCGCAATGCTTAAGCGAAAGCATCGAGCAAGCCAGGGAACACGCGCCTTTAACACCCATTAACGAAAACAACCTTGTAATGATAATAAATTTTCCAGGTGGCAGAGTATATGCATCACACCATCGTGATTTATGAAATTTGCCGGGAGTGGTACCAAGCTCAAATGTAAAAAGGAGCAGACATGATATTGAGGCTGGCTTGTGAACCAAAGATCATCCTGCCTTTGGTCATTCCCATGACATCGCTTTTCTTGACCCAGTATGATCTGAACTTTGAGTTTTGACACCCCTCTTTAACATGTGTACAGAAGCTTTGATCATTTAAATAGATGTTATTGTCTGCAGATTTATAAGAAAGGAACGGAATAGGTGAGCTTAATGGGTCCCCCAGCGGGTGAATGATATAATGCGTGAATTTTCCATTCGTTAAGGTTTTGGTAGTGTTGGTCTATGTCGTGTTTTGTGTACCTGTTGGTCCTGTGATTTGGTGATTTTGGTGGGAATCGGTGTTGTTGAGATTGTGGGGTATCATTTTGACATCATTTGAATGTGTCGTCACGTTCATTGTCGTCACCAGGTGGACCAGAGTATAGAAATCCCGCCAAGCAAGGCGACCGTTTTAAAAGGACACGGATCTGAGGTGTTCATCTGCGCGTGGAACCCCACCACCGATCTGCTGGCTTCCGGGTACGTGCTGCACGCGTCCCCAGTGATGCCTACTCGCGTTCAGAAGTCTCTAGATGAGGGGGCGTCTGTTAGCTGGGTGGAGAGAGTGACGGCGTATCACGAGGCCGGAAAAGGGTTGTGTTGTTAGCTCACTGTAGGATTCAGGCCTGTCCCAGAGTCAGCCCCAAACCCAGCTGGCAGCACTCTAAGCCCAGGCGCTCGGATGCCCGCTCTGCATATTGTTTGCTATATTGCTTGGACGAAGGATGCATGACTCTGTCCTGGTTGTCGCATGATGACGGCCCTCGTATTTCGGTGTGCATGGTGTTGAGTGGATGTAGCGTGTACAGGATGCCGTGGCTGGTGGCGGTAGGGGCTAAGTTCGGGGCGTGGTAGAGCTTAAAGGGCCCTGCGAGTCGACGACGCAAGCGTCTTGGCGCGCCTGGATTGTCTGGCCAGTGCTGGCACGATCCAGTTCTGTTTGGGGACCGAGGACTGGGATTTCCCGTGAACGTAGAGGGTTCCCAGCCCACCACGCACCATCCGATGCATACGCCCGTGCAGGCCCATCTGGGCCAGCGTATGTGACTGGCGGGGGCGCCCCCAGGCGTACCCCCCCCCCCCCCTCCAGTGTGGGGGTGGCGTTCGTTAGAGAGCTGCACGTGCGTCTACTGAGAGCCGGCCACCCGCCGCCGCCGCAGGTCCGGGGACAGCACGGCTCGTATATGGAACATGTCCGACAACGCGTCCAGCAACCACCAGCTGGTGCTGCGCCACTGCATTCAGAAGGGTGGCACAGAGGTGCCCAGCAACAAGGACGTCACATCGCTGGACTGGAACGTGAGCAGGCGACGGCCGAGCCCTCCGTCGGTGTCGCGCGTGTCACGCTGTCTGAGGCTGTAGCTGGAGCCCGAGCAGGCGGGCGGCGCCGGCCGGCCTGCGATGTACGGTGGTGGGCGTCGGTGATCGCCGGCCACCTCACCGCGCGCGCTGTGTTGCAGTGCGACGGTACGCTCCTGGCTACGGGCTCGTACGACGGCTATGCCCGGATCTGGACCACGGACGGCCGCCTGGCGTCCACCCTCGGACAACACAAGGGTCCCATCTTCGCGCTCAAGTGGAACAAGAAAGGCAATTTCATCCTCAGCGCCGGCGTCGATAAGGTGACCGGCGCTGGCATTTCTGGTGAAGCGTTGGTATATTGTGGCCCGCATTGCGTTGGACTGTCCGTTGGAAACAGTGTTTCGGAATGGTGCCTCAAATGATAGATGTTTTGTTTCATGTTCCCTTCGGTATATTGCGTAGCATTTCTTGCCTGATGAGGGCAGACATTGCACGAAGTGGTAATACAGATCTGCCTGGCGTGCAGTGCGGCATCACACCCGGACCCAGGCGCACTGGCGTTCAGTGGCCGGGCTGATCGCCAGCGGCGGTGACGCCTGCGCGCCCTGCCGCAGACCACCATCATTTGGGACGCCTCGTCTGGCCACTGCACGCAGCAGTTCGCCTTCCACTCGGCGCCTGCGCTGGACGTCGATTGGCAGAGCAACACCAGCTTCGCTTCGTGCAGTACTGACCAGTGCATTCACGTCTGCAAACTGGCCTCCGACAAGCCCATCAAGTCGTTCCGCGGACACTCGGTGGGTGGGGCCGGCGACGGCCGCCTGCGCTGGCCTGCTGTGTGGGTGGGGCCGGCGACGGCCGCCTGCACTGGGCTGCTGTGCGGCGGGGCCTGGCGAGGCGGCCGCAGTGCGGGTGGGCCGGCGACGTGCTTGTGGGTGGGGCCGGCGACGGCCGCCTGCACTGGGCTGCTGTGCGGGCGGGGCTGGCGACGGCCGCCTGCGCTGGCCTGCAGTGCGGGTGGGGCCGGCGACGGCCGCCTGCACTGGGCTGCTGTGCGGCCCAGCAGATTGCTGCTCCTCACCCCATTTGGTGCCCATATGCCTACCACGCAGCCGTGCTTTGTGGCTCATCTCCATTGCCTCCTTACGCGGCTGGCAACCGTATCAGTTACGTCACGCTATGTAGTGATGATGTGAACACAAGCCTGGAAGAATGGGGGTGTTTGCAGGGGTGAAACATTGTGGTTGTGTTTATAGAAACGTCTGATTGTTTTTGCCCGTTTGTGACGACTTGCAGGCGTTGTTATTATATAACGTTTGTTGAAGACGTAACGCTGCGTTAATGTCGTCTCTGCAAACTCACCACACGTTTTAGCCAAATTTCCTGGCAAACTATGCAGTTACGTGACATTGCCCTTATTTGTGAAGTCTATAAATGTTGGGGGAAGTGTTCTATGAGAAAACTAAGGTGCGAGGTTGAGTAGTGCATGCTCCCTTTCCCCTGTAGGTAGCACACATGCAGCAGTTGCGCACACACACCTTGCCGAATTTCATTATTTTGGACAGGAGTCTGCTCTTGCTGTATATACCCTTTGCTTCTCCCCGCTCACAGCAGTCTTCAATAGGGAAAACCAGATGACAACAAAACCAAATAGCTATGACAATGACCAACACATGGCTCATCATGAAAAATGTAATTATGTCCAAATGTTTTAACCGAATATAAATTTTCATGATGTCATATTTTCCAAACTTTCGCTTTTCTCATTGCGCTTCTTATGTTTTCTGCTTTTTCACCACGCGTTTTTCAGAGTTGCATTTGTTTGGGAACACTTGATCGTTTTTTCAACACTTTTATCTGTTCGAGTTTGGAAAACTTCAGTTTTGCGTGGAGCTGGTTAGGTATAGTCCGATGTAATTAACATTAGTTTGATGCTGGGAAATGCGAAATAATGAGCAATCGTGCTCAGATTATGAGAGAAACGCGTCGCGGAGTCAGTAGTATAGGAGCAAAGCACCGGCACCCGATGAAACCGCCTCCGTCGAGCCGCATTGGCGGCCGCAGCTAACATAAGGCGGTGGGTGGTGGGCTCGGGGAACGACCGAGCACCAGCGCCAGACCCTTGGTGTACCTGGCTGTCTGGAGCACCAGCTCCAGGCTTTTCGTTGTAGCCGGCTGTCTGGAGCACCAGTGCCCGACCTCTTGGTATAACCGACTGTCGGGGGCGTCTGGCTCTCGGTGTAGCCGGCTGTCTGGAGCACCAGCGCCAGGCCTCCCATTGCAGCCGGCTGTCTGGAGCACCAATGCCTGACCTCTCATTGCAGCCGGCTGCCTGGAGCACCATTTCCTGGCCTCCCGGTGTAGTCGGCTGTTTGGAGCGTCCAGCTATCTCTCTCTCTCTCCCCCATTGTAGCTGGCTGTTTTAGACACCAGCGCCAGACCCTTGGTGTATATGGCTGGAGCAAAAGCACCAGGCCCTTGGTCACCTGGCTGCGTGGAGCATCAAAGTCAGGCCTCTCGTTGTGGACGGCTCTCAGGAGCATCAGGCCTTCTTCCAGTGGAGCCGGCTGTGTCGAGAGTCGGGTTTTCCCCGATGCAGCCGGCTTTTCTTGATTCCGTTGGCGCAATGTGCTTGCCGTGTTACAGAATGAGGTAAACGCCATCAAGTGGGATCCGCTGGGCAACCTGTTGGCCTCCTGTTCGGATGACATGACGCTGAAGATCTGGTCGATGAAGCAGGACACGTGCGTGCACGACCTTCAGGCGCACAGCAAGGAGATCTATACCATCAAATGGTCGCCGACCGGACCCGGCACCAACAACCCCAACATGAACCTGATCCTGGCTAGGTCAGTTGATCCGCGCCCCAGCGCTCGGATCTGGCAAAGGCCGCTGTTGCAGGCGCCGTGCGTGGTGCTCCGAATCGCATGGCCCTTCCGTCGCACAATCATGACTGTGTATGGTGTGAGCTGAATTCCCGGCTACGCTAGTATGGGCGGCACGTCGAAGGCACCTCTAATCAGTGCGGTGTGCTAGCGACCCCTGCGTGTAAGGCGTGTCACGGGAGATCCACGCAAACCACCGTGCTTCCGCTAGTGTCCGGGCGCTCTGTCACGACGCACGCCCGTCGTACGTCTGCAGCGCCTCGTTCGATTCGACGGTGCGCCTGTGGGACGTGGACCGGGGCCAGTACATCCACACGCTGACCAAGCACACCGAGCCGGTCTACAGCGTGGCGTTCTCCCCGGATGGCAAGTTCCTGGCGTCGGGCAGCTTTGACAAATGCGTCCACATCTGGTCCACGCAGGTTAGTCCCCGCCAGCCGGCCGCGGGCGGTCACGAGACGGCCGCCGCGCCCACCGTTCATGTGCACGTATGTCATGCGGCACCTCGTGGGGGCCATCCGTTCTGTGGATCGCGTGGCCTACCCCTGGGGCATGCTCTTGTTTCGGAGCCCCGCCGTGCATGCTCTGCGCCAAGTGACCGCTCGCCCATATGGTCTCGTTTGATAGCCTGTCCTCTGGCTACCCTGTTGACCCCAGACGTTCCGCTTGGGCGCGCCCTACCCGGCCGCCCGTCCGCCACGCAGTGTGCCGCGGTCGATGTGTCGGTTCGGTTGCCTGTCAGCCGCCGACCGTCTTGCCCCCCCCCCTCCCCCTCCCCCTCCCCCATCGCTACAGACGGGCCAGCTGGTGCACAGCTACAAGGGCACCGGCGGCATATTCGAGGTCTGCTGGAACTCCAAGGGCGACAAAGTGGGCGCCAGCGCCAGTGACGGCAGCGTAAGTCTCTCTCTCTCTCTCTCTCTCTCTCTCTCTCTCTCTCTCTCTCTCTCTCTCTCTCTCTCTCTCTCTCTCTCTCTCTCTCTCTCTCTCCTCTCTCTCTCTCTCTCTCTCTCTCTCTCTCTCTCTCTCTCTCTCTCTCTCTCTCTCTCTCTCTCTCTCTCTCTCTCTATCTCTCTCTTCTCTCTCTCTCGCACTCGCATCGCACATCGCACTCGCACTCGCACTCGCACTACGCACTCGAACTCGCACTCGCACAATCGGCACTCGGCACCTCGCACTCTCACTCGCACTCGCACTCGCAATCGCAATCGCACTCGCACTCGCACTCGCACTCGCACTCGCACTCGCACTCGCACTCGCACTCGCACTCGCACTCGCACTCGCACTCGCACTCGCACTCGCACTCGCACTCGCACTCGCACTCGCACTCGCACTCGCACTCGCTCTCGCTCTCTATTGCCAACGATTTTTTGGGTCCGACCGGGATAGTCTTCTTCGCTCTGGTGTGTGATATCTATGAAAGTATATGGCATTGAAAGGTTGATGGCGTTACTGCGCAATTATAACCTTTTATGGTGACTGTACTTAATATGGAGTCGGTTCCAAATGTTGCAGTATTTTGACACTGGTTCCGTTTTCCCGTATTGTTATCGGCGTTAGCCTTAATCACTCATTGGATATGGTCTCGCCTCTTTGCTGTTCATGTATCGTCTGTGCCGTGTACTGTACCATGTACCGTTCACCAGGCAGCTTCTTTGCACCTGTTTGATTGCAAACTTAAAGCAACGCCATGCCATTCCATGTGTCTCACCGTCCGCCTGGCTCCAGGTGTTTGTGCTCGACTTGCGCAAGTAGGCGGGTCAGTACCGGACGCACAGGCCGCCGACAGCCAGAGACGGAGTGTGCACGCGGCGGGCACTGCCGAGGCGAGGCTGGTGGTGGGCGCAGCGCGAGCGGTGGCCCCGCGCTGCGCCGCCTCCGCCGCGCGTCCAGTCAGCCGGCGCCAACGCCGGCCGCCGGACAGCAGCGTTTGTGCGCGACCGAGGGCGGACACTGGGCGCTCGCGCGTGGCTGGCGCGGATGACCGGGCCCAGACGACGGTGGCGGGACGTAGCGAGCGGCGCCTGCGCACCGTCGGACCACGCGCAGGCAGTGATTGGTGACTGTGGGCCGTTGGCGGACGGCGGCGCGGAGAACGCGCACACTGGTGACCAGCAGCGGGACAACAGAGTGATCCGTGATGCGACCACGAGCGGCGTGCGAGACAATGAGTCCTCACGGCCATGCCTGGAATGATCTACGCGGGCAACGACAGGAGCGGACAGAAAGATGGCGGCAGCACGAGGTGGCCATAGTACAAAGCTTCGTGTTGGCATTCCTTGCATCGCGTTTTTATAGGCGTTGTTCACCGCTGACTTGACTTCTCAGATGAATAAACAATAAAACAGTCTGCACGCTTTTGGTATTTGCTGAATGTTAACTTGTTTGAACAACTGTCTAGCCCCCCGTTCATGCCCCACGTATGTGTCGCTGTCTCGCATAGTCCAGGTAGTATGCCTTCTATTTTGTTTCGTATCGCGTGACAGTGTATTCGGCCGTGCACTGCGCATGTGGAAGAATTATCGAAAATGCCACAGTGTGGTTGATCTTCATAGCCTATGTGTATGCTTCCTTGTGTGAGTATTTTTGTTAGGCATCGTGTTTTCATGGTGGTGCTTCATTCATGTTTTCATCTTCCCTCGCTCCTACATAGTTCCGATTGGGCTATGTTTGGGCTTCGGGCAGTATTACTATTCGGACAGATTATGCCATGGCTCAGAAAATGTACATTTTTATGGATGCCCACGGCGATGAGCATTTTTCTGAAGCCTTCCCCGGTCTACCTGTGTACTGTCCCACGTTCCCAGCAGTTTCTCCGTAATGGTCGCTGGTTTTATCGGTCATAAAGGATGTTCGCGTGACGTGAGAGGCGTAGCATGTGCCGAGTTCTTCCCTGAATTTGTCCACCCGATCTGTAACTCGGCACTATATTTCACCCATGAACTTTCCGTGTCATCATTTGAGGTGCATTGGGATGTCATAGACGGGGCTGAAAATAAAAGCTGGATTTCGTGACATTGGATGTGCACAGTGCTCACTAGGAATGTTCTCAGGACATTAACAACTGGTCAGAATGCAGCCTTCTACTTGTTGGCTGATGGCATATGTGGTCAGGCTAGTTATTCATCCATGCGTGAAAGGACGCGAACAGGGTGAAAAACATTGTCAAATCAGTGGAAGCAGCCGGTTTGATGCTTTTTGCTGTGGGCGGGCGTCGGAGTGGTATGCTTCTTGGTCAGAATTAGCTTTGACTTCAGTGAGTGGTCAAGCTGGACCGGTATCAATCTTCCGGAGTTAGGGATCAACCTTTGTCTTACAAGTGAACGCCAACGTGATAGTGGCGTTGGCGGCATGGAGTGCGATGTAGGGGAAATGGGGTGCCCCAGTATTTTTGGTGAGAGCGTCCTGATCTATTTTTACTCCTCACGCTTTCCTTGGAACTCTGGCGGCTTTTCACCAGTTGAATAGTTAGATCCACAAATTTACTAGCACGCCTATCATTATTTCAAAATGAGGTGATCGCTATCTGGTAGCGGCTGGCTTTGGGTTACGCCGTTTCCGCAGACCAGAGGCTCGGTATCTGTTCATTTTTCGCGCTTGCGTATTCAATTTATCTTTGGACTACGTTATATTTGAGGTGGGTTAGTACTGTAGGGTCTCGACAGTTAAATAGATCATTTGTGTCCAGACGTAAGGAAATGTATGGCGCTTTTCGGTACATCCGGCGACAATTATTGCTCGGTTTTGTTACTTGGCCCGACTCCGCAGCATAGTTTGTATGTACGGCCTTGCGGGTAACGCGTCGTCCGTGGCTATGCGTGGTGGTCTGTCAGGTAGTTGCCATATGGCTGGAATGTGGTAAGGTAGTGGGAAGGTTGATCGGGGACTTGCGGGCGTTGCACGTGATGTTGCATATGTATGTAGATATTGGTGACAAGGTGTCATGCTTGCCTTGCAGCGGTTTCGTTGTGGTCGAGCTACTCGGGTTCTTTTTCGATGGTTCTGCGTTTTCGACATAACTCAGAGCTTTAAATGCTCGTGCCCTGCCTGGGCATAAAATTTGGGTTTACCTAGCTTGCCAATGCATTGTGTTGAACAGAACAAAAGGAAGCAGTAACACCATAATCTTTGGACAAATGGACTTGTGTCCAATCTTGCAATGGCTTCATGCCATTGCAGGACCAGGACTTGACTTGACAGCCTTGTCACATTACAATCTTGGCTTGAGAATTGGTGTCTTAAGTGCTGCAATTTTGGCTGCCTTTTCTCAACTCCAACACATAAAAAGGAATTACACTGAACATTCTGACAGGGCATGTCATGGTGTCAGGTTTTTGGTAAGCAAGGCTGTTTCCAAAATGTGGCACCTTCTTAACCTTACCAGTACTAGAGCAAATTAAATTCCCTGGATAGTCTTTTAAAGAAGAGGGTTTGTATGGCATCGAACAATCCTGTAGCAGGAACTTCATGTTTCAGTTTGACAGTGACACCAATGATGGCATGGTTCCATTAACAGTAATTGCAAGGGGACAGTATTCCTTATTTTTAAAAATGGTGAGAACACTTGATGGTAATATAGAGATCAAAGCTAGTCAACACCTTTCCCAAAATCACTTTTTCCCTCCAGTTTTATGTTCCTTTGCCCACTCTCATCACCCTTATCTGCTAGTTTAATGTGGGTTGATCACCATGCCTTCATGAGATGATGGTTGGCCATAGCCTTACCATTGATGATGCCTCTCTCACATTACTACAGTCAAGTTCCATTTGACAAAGACCTTGTTTGCTGTCCACTGATTCACCTGCCAGTGACTGGATAGGTCCAATGCATGATGTTAGGTTCCCTTTTCCCCTGACTGGATGGCCTGTGGCTAGTGGTAGCCAGCTCTGGTGATGTCAAGGCATGGTAGACTGCGTCAGGATTGCTGAACAGTCCACATTGTGTGGCCTTGGCTGCAAAATCCTGCTGTGGACTAGTCTTCTCAAAATTACATGGTGGCAGTCAGGTATTGTACAACAAATGCTGCCCTGGTTGGGTGTTGGTCTTAGACCTCCATCCAATTAAAAGGTTTTGACAATCTTAAAAATGTTCTGTCACAACTCACAGCACATGCCAGCAGCTTGCAGCTTAGAGGAAGAGCGTGCTGTGTAGTAGACAAGTGGTATGTAGTCCATGTTGTGAATCCTAAGTGCACTGTAGATATAAGTACTGCACATATATTATAGTATATTATAGGTAGCCCAGATATGCATATCTAGGCTCTATTCAGGGTGCAGGTAGTATAGTGGTTAAGCAGCATGTCTGGGAAACTGGAAGTAAAGGGTTATATTTCCCACATTGCCTGCCCTCCTTTACCAGGTTGAGAGGGAGATAACGACACATAGCCTCAGAAGTTAAGTGTGTTGTAAAGCCCCAATGATGGAGGTTATCTTAATTCAAGTTACACAATTATTAACCTGAGCTAAAAAAGTACAGATGCAGTGTGCAGGTTGTGTGTTACAGTTTGGAACCTTTTATGTTCACCAGGGCTTGGCATCAGGGATGGCAGACTGCCAGACTTGGTGAGAGCATGCTGCGAAAAAACAAGTGTGTGTGTGTGTGTGTGTGCGTGTGCTTGCATGTGTGTGGGTGTATGCATGCATGAACAATTTGTGGTAGTGAAAGACCCAAGGTAGGTTATTGGTTCATCACACGAGGCAGCATGACCATTAATAAAAAAAACTCAAAGAGCAGGGACCACACATACTTGGTGTTGGTGTTTGGTCCGTGATCAGAGCTTGGCATTGGATAGTACAGTCAGCAGCCAATGTGCGTGTTGCCGCAGGCAGTGATGGCGTCCATAGCAGACCAACTGGGCGTGAGTGGCGAACATGACCTGGTGATTGGACCCAGCTTCAGCAAGAACAACAGGGGCTCAGCCTTCCACACTGTCCGATGTAAGTGTCATAGGGTCATCCCACTCAGTCCATTATTATGGCCTTTGATCTAGTGGCTGGCAATAACAGCTATCACTGATGATAGTCTTTGTGAATGACTGATGCATTCTACCAGCTGTCCACTAAACAGCTGGCAGTTGTAGCTATTTGTACCTGATTGGCAAATCAGAAAATGTTTAAATGCCTTGTTTCTCATCATCTGTATGCTTAACCTAGTTGGTAGTCACACAACAATCATAAAATGCTTAAATGCCTTGTATCACATTATCTGTGTGCCTAAACTGGTTGGTTTCAAAGAGTCAAAGCATGATGCTTAACCTAGCTGGTTGTCACAGAGATAGCAGACCTCATTATTGAAAACAGGTCACTTTCAGCATTGTGTATGGCCCCATTCATGCTGAAATCAGTACAAGCAGTGATACTGGCAGCATTCTCGGTAATAGCAGCCATGATGTCCGCAAGCCTCGGAGCTGTCACGGCCCCACAGCTGAAGCCGCCGTTGCCGTGGGCCGTTTGGCGTGTCACTGGTGACCAGGCGGCGCGCCCCGCCCCGCCGGCAGATGACTTCAAGCCGGCCTCGGTCGACCCGTCCAAGATGGCCACGGTGGACGTGGGCGAGAACCACAGCGTGACGGTAACGGTGCCGCACATCGAAGGCTCCAACCACACCGTGTACCGCGGCAACGGACGGCCCTACCAGAAGGAGTGCGTGCTCGTGGTGGACCACGAGACGGGCGAGATCCGCTTGGAGAAGCTGTCCGAGAACATCCAGGTCAAGAAGACCAGGTGCGTGCCAGATGGTGGCGGCGACCTGCGCTGGAAGGGATATCGCTCCGATCGCTTGTCGTACCAATCATTTTGTGCAGCGTCCCAAAGTCGCATTTGTCGATGTGTTCTGGCATGGGATAGATTATAACGCATCCGCGATAGGAATGGGAAAGTAGCACTTGGCTAGAATTGCAGCTGGAATATGATCACACTGTCGTCATCCATCTGTAAAGGAGGTGACTCTAGCTAACTCTGCAATTTTATTCCCGAGGTAGTAATTGTGGGCTAGGTTTTCCCATGTCAACTGGACATGTTTTCTCCGGATGTCATTCAACACTCCATGTGGAGTGATGGGGAAGTTGAATTAATTGCCAGAACACCTTGTGAATGTCATACAAAGTAAGTAGATAACCATGGTCAGATGTGGGCCAGCTGTGTCGCTCACCACGGTGACAAGATAACGAGTCGGCTGTGTTCCCCGCGTCGGCTTGATCCACACCCGGTCGGCCAGGTCGGAGGGCCCTACGCCGCGCATGCCGGCCGTGCCGCGGCCGCTGACGCCGATCGACCCAGTGGCGCGACGCACGTCGCCCTCCCAGCAGCGTCTCTCGCCGCACGCTGGCCCGCGGCCGGCGCGCGCCTCGCCCACCGTGCGTCGCCCGTCGCCGGTACCGCATCAGCAGCAGGCGCCGCCGCCGCGGCCGCCAGCCCCAGCACCGGCGCCTGCGCCCGCGCCACCGCCGGCGCCCGGCAGCATGCCGATACTGGGCATGTTCGACGAGGCGCCGCCGCCGATGGCCGCCGCGCCGGCCCCGGCTGTCCCGCCTGCTCCGCGCAAGCCGGTGAGGACGTGGGCGTGGCTGACGAGCGACACTAGTGTGCTGAGCGCGCTGTGTGGGCACGGTGACGTCACATGTTGCACTCCCTGGTCTACTCCCTGGTCTGATGCGTTTTCATTCAGGGAGCTTTGTACTTGAGCCCGAGCTTGAGCCTTGTTGACCATGATGTGCAATATTGCAGCATGACTGTGAAGAAAATCTGACCGCACGAAACGCGTCGCCATGCATGCGTTGTCAGCCCTGCTGTTGCCGACGCCCTCCGCTTTCCGCGGCTCCCCGTCGCTATAGGTGACTCCTCACCGCTGTTAGCGACCCCCCGCCGCTATCGGTGACTCCTCACCGCTGTTAGTGACTCCCCGCCGCTGTCGGTGACTCCTCACCGCTGTTAGCGACTCCCTGCCGCTGTCGATGATCCCCTCCTGGGTGTCGGTGACTCACTGTCGCTGTCGGTGACTCTCCTCCCCTGTCGATGACTCTATCCCGGGTGTCGGTGGCCCCCTTCCCTTGTTGATGACTCCCTCCCGGGTATCGGTGACTCCCCGCCGTTGTCGACGACTCCCCGCCGGGTGTTGACAGAGCGCCGAGGCGGGCGGCGTGGGCGTGCTGAGCGATAGCGACAGCGACAGTGACTCGGGCTCCAGCTCCGACAGTGAAATGGACGTGGATAGTCGACCGGTGCCGCCAGCCCCTCCAGGTACGCCCCCCTCCCCCCCCCTGGCCGGGGCACGCGCGCCGCATGAGTCGCGCTGGGTCACGGAGAGCAGGCAGCAGGTGCAGGCGACCTAATGACGCTCCAGCATATGCCTGAAATGAAGGGGTTTCCCTCCTAACAGAAGTTCTGAAATGGCGACAAATCAACAAGGATGCAATCGTTTGCCTTAGCAGTGTGTGTTCGAGGTTGGTATTAGTTCATCCCCGTGCTTGTCACTTGAACTTCATCATGGCTTTATGTTATGATTGTAAGCATCACTCCAGTAACATCATTTTGGATGGGCCTGCTGAAGTGCTGCGCCAACAGGTGTAACATTCCGTGACCGATATATTTGTTTAAATGCTGCCCTACCTTTGTGAGGCTTATGATTGGTAGCTGCGTTTAACTCATTCCAAACTTGTCCGCTTAATGAAATATTCCGTCGCCGTTGTTGGTGATTAACAGGTTCAAAGGTACGCCGTTCTGAAACGCAGTCCAACTAAAATGTCCTTTACATGCAGCAGTAGGTGCATTTTGTAGCGTACAGAGGATGATGCTTCCCACATATTCCACCGCAACTTGAAATATCTCTGGTTATGCTGGGCTCTCCCTGGTTACGTTGCGATAGGCGTCAAGTCTCTGAAAGGTTATGTCCGTTTGGCTCCCAATCAGGTTAGAGGTGCGAAACATAGAGGGGCATTCGGCTTGGAGAGAGAGGAGAGAGAGAGAGAGAGAGAGAGAGAGAGAGAGAGAGAGAGAGAGAGAGAGAGAGAGAGAGAGAGAGAGAGAGAGAGAGAGAGAGAGAGAGAGAGAGAGATAGAGAGAGAGAGAGAGAGAGAGAGAGAGAGAGAGAGAGACAGAGAGAGAGAGAGAGAGAGAGAAGAGAGAGAGAGAGTGATGAGAGAGAGAGAGAGAGAGAGAGAAGAGAGAGAGAGAGAGAGAGAGAGAGAGAGAGAGAGAGAGGAGAGAGAGAGAGAGAGAAAGAGGAGAGGAGAGAAGAGAGAGAGAAGAGAGAGAGAGAGAGAGAGAAGAGAGAGAGAGAGTAGGGAGAGAGAGAGAGAGAGAGAGAGAGAGAGAGAGAGAGATCCGGTTTCAAGGTTTAAAAACATCAAAAATTACAACCATGCTTTGTAAACGCACCTGAGCGTACGTCACGACGCTGTCCCGCCCCGACGCAACGCGGGTGACGGGATGGATGCAACCCGATTGGGTGACAATGGCATTAGGCCTCGCTCGGCCCTGTCTGAAATCTAGTGACAAGGGATGCCCTCAATTCACCTGTTGATGACGTCATAAAAACCTGGACTGATCTGGTCTGTCTATTAACTGCGGACGCAGGCAGGACTTCTGTCATTGTTTGCATGGCTCTTTCACATAAAGCCTGTAAACAACAGATGAATGTTACCAACGCTGAGCGCCGCAAATGCGTTGAAATGACTGCTGTACGGTTACGTCGGTTTCCAAACTCTGCTCTGTGCTGATAAGAGCGGTGGGTTTCAGCTCGCCAGAACGGCTTCTCGATGCCGTCCATGCCTTCGACGGATCTGCTGACGGATCTGCAGCTGTCCGACTCGGATTAGACCGGGATCGAAGCCGCCGGCGGGGGCCACGCCCCTCGGAGTGCGCGTCCGGCCGGCTGTTTGCCAGTTTTCGCTGTCGCCTGGGCCCCCCATGCTGGTTTGCACGGATAGCGTGGCCAGGCGGCCGACAATTCCGTGTTTTGCACGGCATGAAGAACTGTTGGAATTCGCCAACTTCCGTGCTTTGAAGATCTTGCAAAGCATCCGGAAGCTCTGTAACAGACTCTTCCGTACCAAGCCAAACAACCGCCTTTGCGCGTTCGCAGATCCTTCCCAGATGTGTTACAATACCTATAGAGGGGCGCGATGTCGCTGCCTCTGCAATGGCGATGCAATGTTTGCGTATCAGCGTAATCGTACATACGTGGTGATGGGTGTGTGCCTACCAATTTGTCTATTTCTCCTTGTAGCCTGGCGTGGTCAGGGGAGTGGGAAGGGCATATCGCCAGGAGAGACAGAATGTCGTTGGCACGCGGTGGTCACCGGCTGCAATCTGCCCGTGAGACGTAGGTGATACTGTCGCGTGTTCGTTCGTCACTGCGTGTTGGTGGCGGCTTTTCGTTCGCGTCGCCTGGAGCCGCGGCGTGCGATGTGTTGGCCAGGTCGCCCTTGGGTCACCCGAACGGCGCGCTGTCGTCCGGCGGCGCCACGGCCCCAGCCGGGCGAGGTCTGGCCGCTGGATGGACGGGGCCGGTCGCCGGCTCTTCCGAGTGCGGCGGGCGTGGCACCCCTGCTTGTGCCAGAGGCTCTGGGGTCAGGCTGAGCGGTAGGAGCTCGCCGGGGGCTGGACCGTGCTGGGACAGTGTCGTCAGGACCCGCGCGGTTTGGATCGTTCAGGGAATGTGCGGGTGTGAACAGATCACGGTAAGCGTCTCGGTAGCGGCTCGCCGTCGACGTAACGTCCCTGGCGTGGCGTTGCCGCCGTCCCGGATCATTCAGTCCAGGCGGGAATCAAACGCTGCTGCACGTTTGCGACATGCACGATGGTCGGTGGCCGGAGCTCGCGGCCGTCCACTCCGGCCGAATTCAATGGAAAGCTGCTGGAGTGCCGCTGAAGTGGTGTTCCGGCTCTGAGGATGTGCGAGTCCGCCCGGTGATATTCATAAGCACCACGGACCGTCGACGGTCGACGTGCTGGTGTGTCCGCGCGCGTTGTCGTGATTCGAGTCCATGTCTTCGGGCCGTGAACGCGCGACGGGATGGCCCTGGTCTTGAACGCGATCGGTATTGATGTTCATGTGGCTGTTCAGAAACGCTTGGCGTGTAGCATATGTCCCTTGGACGTATGTTTGTGTCCGTGTCCCAAGACACTCAACACGGACAGGGCGGGTACCAAGACAACTCGCGCAAAACTCGATCAGCAATCTGGGGCGTCCGTGCGCACTGCCGCTCCTATGACCCGCGGTGACCTCAGTGAAGCCCCGCGGCGTGCGAGCCGGCTCAGACGTTGAACTCCCCAGCGTCCCGTCTTGTTACTGTTGTCGGCGGGTGCAGGGCTGTCGCGTGCCGCCCTGGCGCGGACGAACTGGCGATGGTGTGGCCCCTCCCCGCCCTGTAACACCGCCGTTGGCCTGTCCAGATTGGGAACCTGTTTAATATGCGTGCTCTATCTGTATCGGGAATACAGTTTTCTTACGAGCATGTGGTTTTGAGCGGGGAAGCACATAACATGGCGACGGCTGTGGATGAGGCTGCTGCCCGGCTGGAGCCAGGCGCGATTGGCAGAACGCTACTGCGAACTCAAGAGCATCCGGGAAATCAAACAGCGCTTGTTACTTCACGGACTGATATGACCCGGCGATGAGTGGTGGGGTGCTTCTGCAATTTCGCTTCAAACTTGTCCCGCTAGCATTTGCCGAGAAAAATACGGGCGGACTGCAATCGCTGCTTTAAGCTCTTAGCTTTGTAGACCTCGGGACCTCAGGCATAAGCTTCTTTGGTATCGAATGCGATAAAAAATAATTCAGTGTGAAACCATACGGGAGCCTGTTTTGACAGCCGAGTGGTTTCTGAAAAGATCCAACCCAACGCTCACCTTCACTGGTGCAGCAAAGATCTCAAGTTCCTCAATTAGCCACGCCCCGTGAGCGGCCCCTTCCCCAGCACCAGACTTGCACTAAATCCACACCCAGCTTCCACAAGTGCCACTGCGTTTTCTCAGATATTTGTAAAAATCGAAGCGTATTACAAAACAATTACAGCATGTTCAACGGTAAACCACATTTCTGGAGCGCAATCAGAGCTGCTGACTTCACAAATACGTCCTGCTGGACAGCGCTGTACACAGCCACTCTACCGCAGCGCGATGTGCTCTAAAATATCTATTTGGCTCGCTGTTTCCGAACCTTGGTCGTTTTCTTCTCAGTCTTTGCGTATTTGGCCTCTAGCTGGTCGAAGAAAGAGTCCATAGCAGCACCGCGTGCCTGCTGGCGAGCCTGGAACGTCACGCAGTCTGGGTTACTCGGGAGCAGGTCGCAGCATCTGGCAATTACTCCGAAAAGTAGACATACTGATGGAGTGAGAGCCACCCTGGTAACCAAGGAGACACAAACCCCATCGCCACCGCAGGCCATGAGGGATCACTTCCCGATTCGGGTCTTCCTCGGACTTAGGGGCCCTCTACTCATTCCTTCGGGACAGCACCTGGTTCGCTAGCAAGTGGGTCGGCAAGAACGGAGCGAAGGTCGTTATCAATCCGTGCGAAAGTATCTGAGAACCAGAGGCCTCCGCGGGTAGCATTCACTATACGCAGCCCGTCATACGGGATTGGGCCGTGTCCAGTTGCTCCCCATCCGCCGCCCACTCCCAGGTTGTTCTCGTCCGGTCGTTAACCGCCCATTTGCATTTGTCTAGGACCTTAGTTCGGAACTATGACGAATTTCCAGGGAAGTGAGACCCAGACACACTCCTCCGCATTGATAACTGTACAAGTAGAGCCAATGGAGCTAATTAAGACTAAGAGCTAAATAAGACTAATTAATTAATTATCCGAATAACTGTCAAAAGCTGCATGCACATTATTTGTCATTCCATGTCACATCACACCTGAATCAAAGCCTGCAGTGAGTCCGCAGAGTTATCCAAACCGAGCCGCTGTTTCTCCTGTTCAGCCTCAGCGGCCTCGGCCTCCGCCTGCAACGGGAGTCGAACAGCGTGGGTGCCCGAAGGAGAGATAACGGACTCACAAGTCGCGGAACAATTTGTAGACTGACTGGTTAACCCGTCTGGCTATGACAGTACACATGTGAGATAGTGCACAACCGTCTGAGCAGGCCTGCTTACCATGGCAAAATTCTAAAAGTATATTTAGAACTGTTAAGATGAAAACAACGCGTTAATTTTCCCGAGAAAAACGCTCGACGCTCAGTTTTTCAACGCTTCACCGGCACGCCATGCCACAGAGCTCCTGCCGCCCCTGAGCCAGCGACGCCGGCCGCAGTCATGATCACTGACCCGTCGCTTCCTGGCCGCCCGCTTGGCTTTGGTCTCGTGCGTGAAGGCGCGCAGTGCCGGCACCTCGCCTTCGTCGATCAGCTGTTGCACCAGCTGGCGGAGCCGCTCCTCCGAGTCGAGCGAGGCGCACGGCACGCGCTCCAGCAGGCCGCCCATGTCGCCGTCGCAGGCCAGGTAGGCGGCGCGCACGTCCTCACGCTCCTCGGCCGAGCCTGCCACCCACGCATGGCACGGCCGGCTCACATCCGCGTTCCGACGTCCAGGATACGCCCAGGGTGGCGACAATATACACGACGGTGTTGTCATTAGAAAAGGTCGTGTCCTAATCAGGCGCCCGACGTTGAGCGCAGCACTCTGCATGCATCAGGATGTTGTGGGCTCACGCCACCACCATACAATACTTAAATGGATGCACACGATTCGATTGTGATCAACCATCAAAATCAGGTCAGTGACATTTATCATTTGTTGAGCATGACAGCCCCATCAGGTTTATAGCATGAACTGGTGTGTTGAATAACTGCCATCTAGTATTCATCTTGTTGGTAATTGGGGTTCCCCATGACACTACCCATTTAAGAGACGACGCGAATGCAGCCCAAACTTAAGACACTATAAGTCATGTTGACATTCGACAGCTTACCATTTGGGGGAAGACAGTGTCATGTCCAGGCACATCTACAACGGACCTTAACGTTTTACAATGACAGCGCCAATAGTTGTCTCCAATAGCAGCGCCACCAGGGCGCCGCACGCCTCGTCCGCCCGCGCGACACGTACCGACATACTGCTGCTCGAACAGGCGGATGTCGTCGAGCGTCAGCGGCCGGAAGAGCAGGCGCCAGTACTCGGCCCAGTCGCGCTGCTCGCCCGCCGCCGGGTCGTCTTCGTCCACGCAGCCCGTGTCGTCGTACACGGCGCGCCGGTCCGGGTCCGAGAGCACGCTGTAGACGCGGCCCAGCGCCTGGAACTGCTCTGTTGCGCGCATTTTCTGCGAGGCACCCACCCGGTCCGGGTGCACCTTCAGGGACACATGGTGGTACCCCTTCTTGACTGCAAATGAAAACAATATTGAATTATATGCATTAAGGACCGCAAATGAAAACACCACTAAATATGCTGCATTAGGGGACATGATAATGATAAGAAACTGGCTGACAGCTCGCATGAAGTCCAAGCTTCCAAGTCCAGTTCCATTGTGCTCAGTGTAGGCCCTACATGCAAGGTGGGAAGCAACACAATGATGTTGCTTGTGAGAAGCTGATAAGGTATCTTGAAAAGCAGGAGTTTACTTCACAGAAAGGACATAGAATGGTCTGGACAAGTTTGGAAACTAGAAGCAGCTTTTGGCACTTCACATGAGGTCAACAGCCATCCACTACCAGGAATGTATTCATATATTCATGGTAGTAAAACAGAATGAGACTGAGTGGGCAGGCTGGCAAGACTTATATGAATAGTTGGAAGAAATCAGCACCTAAAGACACAGTTATACCATGCTTAGTGAATGGGTTACCATTATGGATTGATAGTACAATGTTGCTGAATTTTTTTTTAAAATGCACTAGATGTTAATGAACACAGGAAGCCAGACCTGGCTTGTTATGAATTGACCATTCATATGAAACAGACACTTTTGAGTCTTACAGCACCAATGGTCATAAGAAAAAGGGCAATAACAGGCATAATAATTGTTAAACAATACTTTGGAACTAAACATATTGCAATTTCACAGCACCAATGATGCTTTACACACTAATGGAGTAATACTTTTCAAGGTGAGATATCCACAAAGCATGGAACTTGCTATTGACTGGGCATTGCCCACAGGATAGTGGTATGAAAATAAAGTAATGTTAGGTAATGTTATGAAAGGCTAGGTAATTCATTGTTATGTTTGTTCTTGTTAATTCATTATCTTGTATGGTGCACAGAAGCTGTTTAATTAGCATGTTTGGCTGCATTTCATACATAGTTTGTTTCACACAAGTTGCAATCATGACCCTGAATTTTATTTATTGCGTTCATTTGAATCACATTTTGAGCAAAAACTTCAGACACTTTGGTTACCTCAACAAGAGCTTGAAGAGATGGACCAGTGGGCCAAGTGGCCTGTTAAAATGAATGATCCCCATAAGGTACCTTAAGGCAAGACACTGGAGGCTGCTTAAGCAGTATCAATGTACCAAACCTTACTCATACAAATGAAGCTGGACTGTGTTACAAGCACAAAGTATTAAGAACTACTGGAATAGGAGTTTGGGCTAATCTCTGGACCAAAAGCAATATTGGTCATGACACTCTGGCCAATTAATCCTTAGGCCATCATCCCATGTTAGTCAATCCTTATGAGGACCTGATGATATCTGGCATATACCTATTAAAAGGGTTTGAATATAAGAGCTGGAACATCATCCACAGCCTGGGTAAAAATGAAACTGACAATCACTTAGTCTGGGATGCCAACAGTCTCCCTCACTTTTCATACATATTGCCCACACAATCAGGGGCAGATCTAGCCTGGAGTTTTGGGGGGCCAACCGTTTGTCACCAGCTAGCTGGTGCGGGATCCGAGGTCCAGTGCAAGGTACATCTCGCAAGTACCTAGTAGGGACACCATTCAGGCACCAAAATGCTTTTGAACCTTTTATATATAGCATGCCTGCTTACAAAGCTTGTAACATAAGATATTACTTTTAAGTCAACTGGTCAGATGGGGTTTATTGCATTCTTACATTCATTCATCATGACATTTACATTACACCTTGCATATTTACATCTCCAGAACTTAGTTCTGGGAACATTTTTGGGGGGACCAAAACATGTTCTCAGTTGTTTTTTTTTGGGGGGGGCATGGCCACATGCCCCCCCCCCCCCCCCAGAACTGCCTATGCACACAATTTCATCAGATGGATTACTGGGACCAGAGCTCATAAGCAGCCCCTATTGTCAACCTGATCCTGTAACTGATAACAAGATCATATGGTTTGCTTGCTAGATTTGGCTGATGTACACTGTTCTACTGGGTGTGAGGCCCATGCTAGCATGACACAAAATTGCGTTATAGCAGATAGATACTGTACTGATAGATACTGATACTGACATACCTTCCTTCGAACTTGCTTGTTTACTCACACCCAATATGGCATACAAATCCTTCTTTCCGAAAAGTTCTGCGCATTTCTCAAGAAAAGACATCAGGAATGACCCGAGCAGATGTAGGCGTAACGTGCAGAACAGGTAAATAGGAACGCTGGCACCGCCGCTCACTCCCAGCTGAGTGCTGTCCCGAGTGCCGGCGCCAAAAAAGATCTTTTACCGCAGAGAAACGCTAACAGATATCGTCGGCAACTCTGCCTTTGACCCTGTGCCTTATGCCAGTCTGCCAACCGAACACCAAATCATGGAAACGGCATCGATGACAGCCATAAGCAAATCCTGGGGGGGGCACGGGGCCACGGCCCCCCAAAAAAACTCTGAGAGTATGTTTTGCCCCCCTCCCCAAGCATTCCCAGAACTTGATAAAAGTTTCGTCTACTTGCTGTCTGTTAACGTTTGTGGTGTGATATCAAACATTTCTTTCCGTTTTGGAAAAAAAACTTCCTAAAGAAAAGTTGGCAGCGATTTGAATATCAAAACAAAACGCATATTGACGCGGATTAGTCATACTCGGCGCAAACATCGTGTTTGATAAGTGCACTGGACCTTGGATCCCACACCAGCCAGCTGACGACGGACGGTTGTCCCCCCCCAAAAAAAACAACTCCAGGCTAGATCCGCCCCTAATGTCAGCGCTAAAAACATTTGGAATTCTTTACTTTCTTGGTGGGCCAATGCAAGGCATCTCTTTTCACATCACGGACAAGTCCACTGTGCGAGTACCGAGTATAGCGCGCGAGTAGTAGTATCTAGACCGAACGGTAGATGGCAGAGCGTCTCGCGGAGGACAGAAATACAGTCTAGCTCCGACCGCTGACTCGTGTGAACCCTCTCGGATACAGACTCGAACATGGCGGGGCCGACAGGATCAGTGGGAATCGATCCCGCCTCGGTTCCCCCGCCGGACGACATAGACGACCCTGGGACGAGTGCCGTGTCCCCGGGGAACGCGACTCGTGCCAGACTCGATGGCAAAATATGTCAAACCGGAACGATTGGAGCCGACCGGTGACCGCGGAGTGACGTACCGCATGTGGCGTACAGAGATGGGACAACTTCGCGATGTTGTCGGACTTGAGTAGCAGGCCGCCAGCCCTGCAGCTGGCGATTCTCCGGTCGTGTTTCTCGGACGAGGTCCTGACAGTCGCGGCCAACTTCGACATCCCTGCTTCCTAGCGATCGGACCTCTCCGTCGTCCTCCCGCACCTGGACGGCTACGCCCGCGGCCAGGTCAATAAGGTCATTCAGAAGCGTGCACTTAATATGTGCACGCAGCAGGAGGGCGAATCATTTAATGACTCCTCCACCCGCCTCCATGACCTGAGCCGTGAGTGCGGATTCTGCGATGCCTGCCGTGACACCCTGATCAGGGACCGTTTAGTCGTGGGCCTGCGCGACCCGGCGACAACCAAACGATTGTGCGCCGCCCCACTCCTGTCATTGCAGCAGGCGATCCAGATCTGCCGCTCCGAGGAGGCTGCGACGCGTGACGTCACGGAGATCGTCGGCGGCGAGGTCGACGCCGTGTCAGCGTGCCGCGCTCCGGTCGGCCGGCGCGCCGGCCGCCATACGGACCCCAGGAACTCCGCGCGGTGTCAGGTTCCAGTCGCGGAGCCCCGCCCCTCCCCGCCGGGCGTCGGGTGGGGGCGCCTGCGAGCGAGAAATGAATTCCGCCCGCACGGTCTGCAGAAACTGCGGCACCCGTCATGCACGATCTGACCGCTGCATGGCTGCGGATCGGGCGTGCTACAACTGCGGCAGAACGGGTCACATCTCCAGGATGTGTCGCAGCGCGCGCCAGTCACATGAGACATCTGCCTCTGCGGTTACGCTCGCGACCGCATCAACGGGATCCGCACCGACTGTTAGCGTGTCCGTGTCAGGTCGTAAGACGGCCAAGATGACAGCGCTTCCGGACACCGGAGCCGACGTGTCAGTTGCTGGGTTAGACTTTGCCGAATTCATTGACGAGATGAACGATAACCTTCAGCCGCCGTCGACCCATCCCCGCGCTGTAGACGGACACGTGACCCGCTCGCGCGGGAGTCTGCCCTGTCCGAATCACACTGGGTGACATAACGGTGTCTGACACGGTGCATATCATCCCAGAAGTGCCACGACTCCTCCTCTCGTGGTGCACTGCCGTCCGTCTTTGTATTGTACCGGCCTATTATATAGAACCCACGGCAGATAAATGCAGTCAGTCGGGGTGCCGGACCGCCCGGCGCAGCCGCTAGTCAGCCGCCGCCCCCCCCCCCCCCCCCCCAACCCAGCCGCGGCTGAGGCGCGCGCGCCGCGCCGCGGCCAGCCCTCCCCTACCGAAACCGGAGACGAGACGGGACGCCGCTAGCACCCGGCTGGGGAGGGGGGGGGGGGCCGTCGGACGGCCGACCTCCGACTACGGAGACGGCGGAGACGGGCCGGCCCGCCCGTCCTCAGAGGACCACACCGCCCGATCGGTGCTGCCCTCTCAGTCCCCGTGCAGCACGCAGCGCCCCCAAGCGCCTCAGAGCTGCCTCACAATCACATCTCTTCCGACGTGACCGTGAATGCAGCGCCACTTCACGAGTTTTCCGACGTGTTGGACGGCGAAATACGAACCATGCCAGGAGAAGAATACCAAATCCATCTGCGAGAAGACGCCACCCCCTTCGCCGTGCGCTCGCCAGGCAGGGTGCCGATAGCTCTGGGAGAGCCCCTGCGCCACGAGCTAGAAAAACTCGAGCGTGACGGCACCATCGAGCCTGTCACGGAGCCAACTGAGTGGTGCGCGCCCATCGTAGTGGCCCCTTAGAAGGACGGCATGGGCATTCGACTGTGTGTAGACTTTTCAAAGTTGAATAGGTCGGTGGGGCGGGAGCTGTACCAATCCAACACGCCCGCTGAGTGTGTCTCATCCATCACAGCGTCGGACGCTAAATGGTTTAGCGTGTTAGACGCTACCAAAGTATACCACCAGTGCCCTCTAGACGAAGACAGCCGAAACCTGACGACGTTCATTACACCATTCGGGCGCTACCGCCATCTGCGCGCCCCCTATGGCGTCTCGTCAATTAGCGAGCATTACAATCGGCACATGGGCGAGTGCTTCGGGGGCGTGGACCGCATCCAACGTGTCGTGGATGACGTCATCATCTTCAGCAAGACGCAAGAAGAACACGTCGCCCGAGTCCGGAGGTTTTTGACGAGGTGCCGCGCCCGCAGGGTCTCCCTGAACCCCTCCAAGACGCAGCACATGAAGACCAGCGTCAAATTCGCCGGCTTCATCGTGTCCCGAGACGGCTACGTGCCCGACCCGGCCCTGACGAACGCCATAGCGGCGTTCCCGGCACCGAAATCGCTCACTGACCTCCGGAGCTTTTTCGGCCTCGTCAACCAAGTGGCGCCATTCAACGAGGAGGCGGCTAAGCTGCTGGAACCGCTGAAAGTAGTGCAGGCCGGGTCGCGCTTCCTCACCGACACCGAATCTCGGTACGCTACAATAGAACTAGAACTGCTGGCAGTCGCCTGGGCGGTGAAAATGTGCCGACTTTTCGTCTCTGGCCTTCAACACCTGGACCTCGTCGCTGATCACCGCCCTCTCGTGCCCATCATCAACAACAAAAACCTCGACGAAATCGAGAACCCGCGACTGCAAAGACCGCGCAAAAAAACATCCGACGTCAGCATGACTGCGTCGTAGTGTCGAGGCAAGAGCCACCTGGCGGCCGACGCGCTCAGCGGGTCACCAGTCGACCCGCCCACCGATGACGACGAGCTGGCGGAAGACGACGCCGCTCCTACCGTCGCCACCGTCGCTGCGCGGGCGATCGACACGTCGCACCTCGACCTCCGACTACGGGACGTGCTGGAGGCGGCAGACGGCGACGAGGAAGCCCAGCTCCTACTCGAGGCAGTCACGAACGGCTTCTGTCATCAAAAAGCCGACCTCCCGTACCAAATTCGCCCTTACTGGTCAGTGCACGACAAACCGACAGTTGAAGACGGTCTGGTGCTTCACGGGTGCCGCCTCGTGATCCCTCGGCCAATGCGACCCGCCGTGCTTCGGGAGCTGCACGCCGGACACATGGGCAAAGAAAAGACAAAAAGTCGGGCCCGCCAGCTAGTATTTTGGCCTGGGATGTCCAACGACACCGACAACATAACCGAGGCATGTCAGCAATGCCAACGAGAGCTGCCGGCCCAACAAAGAGAAAAGATCCGGCACCACGAACCAGCCAGCCGGCCGCTTCAGCACCTCTGCGCAGACTTCTGCGAATATGCCGGGCGCCACTTCCTGGTCGCGGTCGACCCATTCTCTGGCTGGCTGATTGTTAGCCTGCTCGGCCGCCACGCCACCGCCGCCGACCTCATCATAAGATGTCTTCACCACACTACCCGCAGTCAAATGGCCGCGCCGAAGCAGCGGTCATATACGCCGCCAAACTCATCCGCCGGTGCTGGCGACAAAATCACGTGGACGACGCCTGGGTGCGAGGCATGTTGCAACACCGCAACACACCCGGCCCGGACGGCCAATCACCGGCTCAGATCCTCTTCCACGCCCCCGTGCGGGACATGGTGCCGGCTCGCCGGCGGGCGTTCGCGCCGCGCTGGTAGCAAGAAGCTGATGACGCCGAGCACGCCGCGGCCGCGGCCGCGCGACAAAAAGACATCGACGCGCGGTACGACTTCCACGCGCGGGATCTGCTAGCCCTCCGGACGGGGACTCCAGTTGCCCTCCGAAATCCAGACACTGGCCGCTGGGACCGGTACAGGATCATCGCGGAGATCGACCCTCACCGCCGCTGCTTCATCCGCCTGCCCAGCGGCCGGGTGTTGACACGGAACCGGCGTCACATCCGCCAGCGGTACGCCCCCAGCCGGCCGGACGCGGCCAAACTCTCGCAGCTGCCAGCGGTCGCGCCCCCGGCGTCGGCGGCCGCGGCGGGCACACCGCCCCCGCCCGAGCCGGCCCCCGCGGGGGATTCGGGACGTCTGAGTGAGCCGACCCCAGGTCCAACCCCGGCCGGGGAGGCACCGCCCGACGTCTTCCCGGCGCCGCCGCGACGGTCTGCACGGGCTACCCGGCGTCGCGAGCGTCTAATTGAGACCATGTGAGTGAGTGGCCAGGCACACCGTGTGCGGTAGATTTAGTATTTTCTATAGATTTAGTATTCGACCCCGTATTTTCTCACCGTAGCCTCCGCGCTC